TTGGTTTTGATTGTTGTTGTTGTGGTTGATTTGGTGGGTTGTTGTTGTTGATGCCATGTTTGATGATAATAAAAAATAATAATAAACAAATTGAGATAACTACAATTATTGAAATAAACATTTTACTTTTTTTTTTTTTTAATTAATATGGTGGGGAAAAAAATAAAATTATAAAAATTAGACTATACTAACAAAGGTTTTTTACTATTTACAAAAAAAAAAAAAAGATTATGCTATGAGTGTGAGTGAAGAAAAAAAAATGAAATTAAAAAATTAAAATTTATTAAATAAAAAAAGAAAATTAACAAATTATTTTTTTTTAAAGGTGAGGTATGAAATAAACTATAAAAATTAAAAAAAAACAAAATAAAAATTTAATGTGGGGTTACTCAAAATAATAGATTGGCTGAATTAGTTTTATAAAATTTTTTTTTTAATTAAATTAAAATTTTTTAAGATTAGTGTTTAAACACAACCTAAATTGTTTTTTTTATTTATTAAATAAATGTAATTATTGTTTAATAAATAAAAAAGACAATTTTGTAATTCAAAAAAAAAAATAAAAAAATTTGATAAACAAATTGAGCAATTTCTTTCGGTATTACAGCGATAAAATTAAAAAATAAAAAAAAAAATCCACATCAAAATCAAATTAATTTTAAATGATTATAAAGGTTAATAAAATAAAATATTAAAAAAAATTAAGTAATTATTATAAATTTTAATTAACTCCATATAAATGTAATTTTATTAAAATTTTAAATAAATTTTTTTTTTTTTTTTTTTCAAAAATAAAATTTGTATATTATGATTTATTTCATTCTTTAAAATCATTATATTTGAAAAAAAAAATAAAGGTTAAAAAGCAGTAAATCTTTTATGGATAATAGTTTGCATTTATGGTTTACCGCTATCTATTGTTAGTGACAAATTAATTATATCAGATTTATGGAAGAATTTGGCAAGCTAAAGTATTGCTCCAGGTCTTCCACAAGCAGGAGAAACTATCCAAAGAAAAGGCAAAAAGGGAAAGATGGGATGATGAGTTTTTGATTATAGAATGTTCAATAAAAAATTCAAATAACTAATTAACTAAATTAACACCTCAAGTATTGTTTGTGGTTTAGAACCCAGAATGCCCTATAATATCTATATAAATTAAAATTTAGATACAATGTAGTAGGAGATAATTTATTAAAATCTCAAGTAGAACAAGAAGTTCATTATAAGAATAGAAAAAAATTAGAAATTAAAAAATGGTATAGTTTCAAACGTCAATTCATGTTTTTTTTTTTTTTTTTTTTTTTTTTTTAAAGTGTCAATTCGTGATTCGGAAAACCTGTGAGAATGGGAGCGGCATGGAGGGGAAAACTTGTGAGCCCTAAAAATCATGAACCTCTGTTTTTCCTCTGAATTTTAAAAAAAAAAAGTAAAAAAGTATGGCTGCTCTGAGAATCGAACTCAGGACCCCTTGTTTACAAGACAAGTATTATGCCACTAAACTAAGCAGCCATTGATGAAATTTTTTAAATTTTTTAAGAATTTTTTACGAATTTTTTTTTTATTTTTATTTTTTTTTTTATTTTTTTTTATTTTATTTTATTTTTATTTTTTATATTACAAAAATGTTTTTTTCGGTTTATAAAACCAAATTAATAACACAAGATGTATAATCTTATACGGCAGTAGTAATATTGATAATTCCAATATTTGTACGACAGTTTTAAGATAAAAGGTTAAATTTATCTTTTAAATACTTAAAAACATATAAAGATTCAAAGACTACAGAAATATATTTGTTCATGTCAATGATGAAGATTAATTTAAGAAATATAAAATAGTATAAAATTGGTAAAGATTTAAAATTTTCGGTTTATGTATAACCTGGAAGATTTTATAATGAAAAATAAAAAAAAGATAAAAAAAGGAAACATGAAATGATTAAAAAAAAAACCTCTACATTTCTTTTATAATATGGTTTTGTAAAGGTTTTTGAAAAGAAAATATTATGAATATAATTTAAAAGGTTTTGAAACGAAATAAATATTGATGTGTAAATTTGTGCTGTTGTTTTTGATATATTGGCAAATTTAATGAATTTTAATTAAATGAATAAAAAAAAAATTGATATAGAAATAATATTTTTTTAAATTTTTTTGAATGGATACCCGAATGATAAGGGAATCCATAACGAGAACTCTAAGATTTTGCATCTGGCGGTAGAGAATTATAAATCATATAAAAATTTACATATGTTGTGATATTATTGATTAAATTAAAAATAAATAAAAAATAAATAAATATATTAAGATATAACAAAAAAAACATCTGCTGTTTTTTGATTGCAATTCACTGATAATGTGGATTTTTTAACATCAAAACACAAAAAAAAAAAACCATTATACCAATCTCTAAATATATAAAAATAATCTATATCAATAGAATATATTTTTTCTGAAAAGAATTAAAAAAATATATTAAGATGCAATCACTCTCAAATTCTTTAGATATAGTATACCGATAAAGAATCATTTGAATATACTTAAAAATGCTTAGTAGTTTCATAGTCGATTTTCAAATATATTTATTGAAAAAAAATAATTGTCCAAAAATTACAACTATAACCACTACTGCATCCCCACTTCCAAATAAACAAACGTGGCAAAATATCACAAACTAACTCTTTATCTGTGGTAATGTTTTGTATTTGTTTGTGTTTTAAAAGTTTTTATACATATAGCTAAAATATATTTTGACACGTTAAACAAAGGTTTTAATATTTATTTTTTCAATAAATAAATGTATTTAATATCTATTTTGTTTTTAAAAATATGGTATGCTGAAACTTTAAACAGTGCAAATGAAAAATAAATAAACTTTTAAAATGGTCCTTTAAAAAAAAAATACATTTTATTTTATAAAGTATTTTAATATAATGAATTCCATTTCTTTTTAATTTGCATTTTCTTTTGTTTTTTCTCTAAAAATACTTGATCCTTTTCTATTCTATTTAATGCATTTTCGATACCTTTCTTTCTCTTTAATTGTTTTCTTGGTGTAAGTTTAACTTTTTTTGTTTCTTTTTTTTCACCTGCAGCATATGGATTAAATTGTTTATCTTTTTTAACTTGATTTAAATCTAATTCAACTTTTCCTGTTGTTACTTCCTCTGTATTAATTTCCTCTGTATTCATTTCTTCATTTTTCTCTTCTTTATTTTTTTTACCTTTAAATAAAAAATTATATAATTAATTATTTATTACTCTATCCAATTTTTTATTTTAAATTTTACTTTTAATTGGTTTAACCATTTTTATTTATTTATATATTTATTTATTTATTTACAAAAAATTATTTATTTACAAAATATTTTAAAAAAAAAAAAAGTTATAACTGATGAAAGTAAAAAAACTATTTTTTTAAAAAAAAAAAAAACTATTTTATTGTTTGTTATTAAAAAAACAAAATTTATTTTAAAACTATTTTAGAATATTATAAATAATAATAATTTTAGTTATTTAACTATTTGTATATTTATAAATATTTAGATTGTGTATATGATTATTATTAAAAATTTTGGTTTGATAATAAAAAAAAAAACTAAACGTAACTTTCGGCTTTTTTTACAAAAAAAATAATTTTTTTAAAAAAAAAAAAAAATTTATTTTTTTTAATGGTTTAAATAAAATTTTTTTTCTTTTTTTTTTTTTTTTTTTTATAACTAAAAACATCTATCGGTAAATATTCACACAAATAAAAATGTTTATATAAAAAAAATATGTATAATTTTAAAATTATTTTAATGATGAATGATTTTTGGGAATCTCTCTGAAAGCTATGATTATAAACAAAATCTAATCTTCATTTTCTGACAAAATAATTTTATATTATTATTATTTTTAAATATATACATTTATTAATAATATTATTAAAATTCTCTATACTAATATATATTTTTTTTTAAAATATAATAGATGATATATACCCACTTTGAAAATGATTAGCTAAATCTTTCTTTTTACTTTTCTTGGCCTTTACTTGTTGATTTTATTGATTTTATTTTTTATTAAAATAAAGGGTTGAATTTCAACCAAATTTTAATAAAAAAAAAAAATTAAACACCACGCAGCTGATTTATATTATTGATGTATAATGATTGTGATTTATTAAAAGTTACCGCTTTAATATAAAAAACACATTCTTTTAATTTAAATATCTAATAAAATAAAATATTTTTTGTAAAAAAAAAAAAAAAAAACACAACTTTTTATTATTGATATTTTTAATAAATTTTTTTGATTTATTTTATTACTGTTTTGTGTGATTCTGTCCTTTTTTATTATTTGGTGTCAAATATTTGTAAAAAAAATTAAAATAAAAATTTTTAAAAAAAAAAAAAAGATTTTTTTTATTTTTTTTTATATTTTTTTTTATTTTTTTTTTATTTTATTTTTTATTTTCTCTTTTTTTTTATTTTTTATTTTTTTTTCAAATAAACCTCTTACACCAAACACAATCATTAATATATCTACGAAAAAACAATTATAATTGTTTATTACTAAATTTATTTTTTGTTTTTTGTTTTTTGTTTTTTCATAGTTTTTTTTTTTTTTGTTCTTTTTTATTTTTTCATTATTTTTGCTTATTTTTTTTTTTTTTTATTTTACCAAAATAATTTTTTATGCAAAAAATAAAAGTTTCCACCAATCATTTTTATAATTAATAAAATGACAACTATAACACCAGATAGAAATAATATAGAAGAGGAACAAAAACAACAATCAGAACAGCAGATTAAGCAAACAGATGATTGTTCATTGGTATCAAAAAAATTTACTAGTTATCATAGATTGATAAATTATTTTATAGTGTGTGGATTGGGTAGATCTATTGTTGTTAATGACATTAATAAACCGTATCAAACAGAAATATTAGATAGATATCCACATCATAGCTACGAGGATGCAGTATTACCACAGCATATTTGGATGTTCAGTTTTCCATCTGGATTATGGGTAAAAGAAACAATGGAGGAACCAACTATATCCGCATTTTGTTTAACCGAGTTAGATGGTGCAAGATTTTATGCTACTTCATTAACATATTATAAAGAAATTGAAGATTCAAAAATGGTAATTATTAAACATTTTCTAATAAAATTATTTATTTGTTTTTTTTATTTTCAAATTTTTTTTAAAAATTTTTTTTTTAAGAAATTTCATTGACACTCTTTCAATTTCATTTTTATAATAATATAGGAAAATGAAGATTATCAAGTATTATTTAAACCAGTTTCAATAACATTATTATCAAGATATCCATGTTATAGTATTTTAAAGAAATTATTATGTTATATTTATTTATACAGTATAAATAATGGAATGGATGAAAGCAATACTATACCAATCGAAAGAATAGTATCACATCTAATTAACGATTTACCTAGACCTATATTGGGATATCGTTTTAATTTAAATTTACCAGAAATTATCACATTAAATCATAAACATTCAATCGGTATTAAAAATGCAAAGATTGTTGATACAAATAATTTAAATTATACATTATCAAATTTACCAAATTTTCCACAAACTGATGTAGGTGTTTTTTATTAATTTTTTTTTATATTTTTCAATTTTTCATACTAATTGTTTAATTTATTTTATCGCTAATATAGATACCATTTACATTATTATTCAATTTGGTTGGAGTAAATAATGTTTTATTATTGTTTTCAGCAATTTTACAAGAAAGAAAGGTTTTGTTTTTTTCAACTTTTAATTCATTATTAACAGTGGCATGCGAAACAATATTAAATTTATTATATCCTTTCATATGGCCACATGTATATATACCGGTATTACCAGATTTATTGGTCGATTTCTTACAAGCACCAACACCCTTTATAGTCGGTATGGTTAAACATAAAAATCTACCAAAAATTGATTACTCTGATGTATGTATAAATAAAATTTATATTTATATAATTTAAATATTAATTATTTTATTCTTTTTAAATTATTATAGATTTTAGTTATTGATTTAGATAAACAAAATATAATTTCAAAACCAGATAGTTTTAACAATAGTTTACCAGAAATTTATTTTAACAAATTGGAAAAATCAATTAAAAAAATATTATATCCAGAGTTGGAATCATTATATTTAGTATTTCCAAATGATATAGAAAATAATATTAATAATAATAATAGCAACAATAATAGTAATAGTATAAATAATAGTAATATTAATAATAGTAAAATTGATAATAATATTAAAATTAGAGCAACATTTCTGGGATTCTTTATATCATTTTTTTATGATATTGACGATTATCGTTATTTGTTAAGAAAATATCCAAAACCAATATTGACATTTAACAAATCATCATTTTTAATGAAGCACAAAGATCCAGAAATTGTAAACTTTTTATCAACATTAATTGAAACATCAGCCATAACAGCATTTTTAGATGGAGATCAACAGCAACCAATAAATCAACAAGAAATAAATAACAATAATAGTAATAATACATCAAATAATAATTATTGTACATTATTTTTTGATTTAGTTTGTAAACAGTATAAAGAGGATTTAGAGGTTTCGCCATTTACCGCTAATGCTTATGAATCAATTATAACATGTATTTGTAATTATAGTCAAAATTTCCCGCAATATTCAAAATCTATTGAAATACCCAAACCAGATGGTTCAGAATTAAACCCACTTTTATCAAATCCACCACATCCAAGATTACAGTTCCCAGATTTAAATAAATCATTATTTTCAAAAAGAAATGAATTTTCAAGAGAGAGTTTAATGTTAAAAACAATAATTTTTAATGATAATAAATTAAAATCAGTTAAAGTACCATCATCAGCATCAACATCAATAATAAAAAGTCAATCAAAAGAGAATATTAACAATTTATTATTTTCACCAAAATCAACTACAACAAATATTACCACAACATCATCATCATCAAATTCATCATCAACCTCAAATACACCAGTTAAAAGAGGTTCAATTTTAGTAGCTTCTTCAAGAATTTTATTAAATACAACAACAACAACAACAGCAACAACAGCAGATAATAATGAATCATTATCACATTCGCCATCATCAGATTCAACATTATTAAAATTTACAAAATTAAATGGAGAAGTTGAACCAGTTACAAACTCTAATCAATTGGAGGATGAAGAGTTATTAAAAGAATTTATTGAAAAGTATACAGAATTAATATTTTCAGATGATTTCTTAGTAAATGTTTCACCAAATAGTAATCAACAAAATCAAAATCAACAACAAAAAATTTTAAATATAGATTTCGAACAACAAAAATTATTATTAGATTTATTTAAATTAAAAAACAGTAGAGAATATTTTATGAATTCATTATCAATTTATTTAAATGAAGATAATAATAAATCATATTGTCTGGATAGTGGTTGGAGATTATTAATATTGGTAGAAATTATGAAAAAGATTTTTAACGAATGTAATAATGCCGCAGATTTTAAAACCGCTTCAAATATTTTACAAATTACCAAGGATGTTTATTTTAGAAAGGTTAGTGCTAATCAACAACAAACTCAACAGGAACCATTGTTTCAACATTTTCAAGGTGTGGTGTTATGGAAAAATCTTTTTTTCTGGGAATCATCCTTTTTAGATGGTTTAAAGAAATTAAGGGTTGAAAGTTTACCGGATCACTATAATAATCATCAATTTAACGATTATGATTTAAAGAGCCAACAAGAACAAGCCGATTATACAAAAAGAGAAGAAGATGTACTCTTTAACTGTCTTTCATCTTTTTCATATTTAATGATTAGATTAAAAATATCAATTGCCGAAGTTACAAGATTTATAGGTAGAATGGTTGTAATATGTAATATCAATGATGATCACTATCAAACTTTAATATCGCTAGTACATAAATTATATCATGCCGATCCTTCAAATTTTGATCATAATAAAAATAATAATAATAGTAATGATAATAGTAATGATAATAGTGAAAAAGATGGTGCTGGATCAAATTCAAATAGTTTTATTGAGGGATATAATAGTAATAACGATGATATGATTAAAAATTCAGAAATTTCAAATATTATAGAGTATAATAAGAATAGTTTTAAAATACCAGATTTATATGAAGACAGTTCAATTTCAGATTTAGTAGGTGGTGATATCAAATATTTTACATCAACAGTAAAAAGAAATATCGATATTGAAAAAAATGGATCAAGGTTATATTATCAAAAACTAATTGAAATGAAAAGAAATATAATTAAAAATGGAAATGGTTTATTTGATGAAAATAGTGATTTTATCAATGGAAATAAATTATTTTTATCAAGTTCAACAAACAAAACTGGTTTACCACAATTTTCAACTATAAATGTAAATAATAGTAATAATGGAGTTGCAAATTTAAATGGTTCGTTTGGTAATTTAAATACAACTAATACTAGTCCAAATAGTAGTTTATCAACATCTTTAAATTCACAATCAACAAATTTATCATTATCGTTAAATTCAATTGATTTGGTTCAACAACAACAGGATTCAATAGTGTATGATAAGAAGGATGGCTACAGTGTTATGACATTAAAGGGCAGTGGATCAGCAATTCAATGTATTTCAATGATCAATAAACGTCAGGTAATTGTAGGTGGTTGTACTAATGGTTCAATTGTAGTTTGGAACTACAATGATGGTAAATTATTACAACGTCTTAGTAACCATAAAAAAGGTGTTTCTTGTATTGGTGTGGATCAATCAATCGATTCAATGTTTGCTTCTGGTTCTCGTGATAAGACTTTGCGTATTTGGAATTATAATGGTAGTGATGGATTTGTTTGCTCTTCAACACTTCAAGAGCATAGTTCAGATGTCTCTTGTTTGGAAATGAAAGGAAATATGGTTTTAACAGGTTCTACCGATTCTACAATGATTGCATGGGATGCTAGATCAAATAGAAAGATAAATCAATTCACTGGCCACACTGGTCAAATTTTATCGATTGCAATGTTTGAAACAGGCAATATGGCCTTAACAACTTCATCAGATACTACCGTTAGACTTTGGGATATTCGTAATATGAAGCCACTTCAGGTATTCAGTGAACACAATGATTGGGTTACTAAAGCAGTTATTGGAAATAATGGCCAAACTATATTCTCTGGTAGTTTTGATACAATGGTTAAAATGTGGGATATCAATACACCAAAATCTATTAAAACTTTTTCAGGTCATGCTGGTGGTATCAATTGTTTGGCCTACGATAGCGAAAAGAAAATTCTAGTTAGTGGTGGAGGCGATGGTTATGTAAAAGGTTGGGATGTTCAAACTGGTTTTGCAATTAAATCGTTTAAGGGTCACAAGGATGAGGTTTTACAAATTCTCTATGAAGGTGATACTATGATTACAAGCTCTCAAGATCAAACCATTCGTATTTGGGATATGAATAGCGGTCTTTGTCAAAAGGTTTTAAGAGGCCACACCGATTGGATTTGTTCTTTAGCCAATGGTTATGATAGTGTAAAGTTAAATAAATTCATTTCAGGTTCTTGGGATTCAACTGTTAAAGTTTGGGAAATAGAAAAAGAGAATCAAAATCAAAATAGTGGTTATGTTAGTAGCAGACAGGATAGTGAAAAAAATAGAATAGCTAGTGTATTAAGTCATCAACCTTTAACATTATCATCATCATCATCATCATCATCATCACCCCTATCATCAACTCAAGCAAATACTTTAAAAAAATCATTAAATAATAGTAGTGGTGGCGGTAGTGGTTCGACTATATTTAAAAAATCAAAAGGATCTGTTATATTAATGTCATCATCACCAAACATTACAACCACAACACCCACAAACAATTCAAATAATAGTACTACAACACCATCAACAACGATTATAGGTAATAAATCAATTAGTATCGGGAGCGCAGCCAGTAGTGTAAATAGTAATTTAAGTAGTTCAAGTAGCACAAATAGTAGTAGTGGAGGTAGTTTATCTAATGATGTACCAGTTGGAAGTATTTCATCTCTTTCATCATCTATTTCCTCATTATCTTCCTCATCATCATCGAGTGTAACATCATCTTGGCAGATTGGTTCACCAACTAATAAACCAAAAAAAAATTTAATCTAAATAAATAAAATTTTTTTTTAATAATGAGACTTTTTTTTCTTTTAAGACCAACAAAAGATATTATTTTTCCACTTTATTTCCTCCTTTTTTTTAATTTATTTTTTTTTAAGTTTTTTTTAATAAATTTGAAAAAAAAATAAAAAGAAAATTCTTTTTTTTAAATATCTTTATTTTTTTAATTGTATACAAAAAATGATCAGATTATTTAATAATTTTAAAAAATTAAATGGTCTTGTCCAAACCAAAATATGCATTAATAATCCACCAATAAATAATAGATTTCAAATTATAAAAAAATCTTATTGCACTCAATTCCAACAAACAAACCAACAAAATATAAATAATAGTTTAGCAATAGATGAAATTAAAATTAATAATAATTTAAATACTAATAGTATTAATAATTTAAATAATAATGATAAACATTATTTAAACAATAATAATAATGATAATAATAATAGTATCGAAATTAACAATATATTAAAAATTATTAATAATGACCCAGAAAAAGAAAATAATTTTTTTCAATTATTCAAACTAATGAAGGCCAACAATTTAAATCAAGTTACTTTATTATCTGGTGAAAATGTATCAATAGAACAGGTTTTAATTAGGGAAATTTCAAATAATAAAGATAATGGTAAGGAGGCAACCATTGAATTAGGTCTACTTCAAGCAGATTTCTTGATGGGAAAAGATTTATCCGAGGTATCTCCACAAATGTATCGTAATAGTAACGGAGAATTAGGTTCTGTAAATCTTACTCTTTTAGAACACTTGTGCTTTGTTTTATCAAAGGATCAAGATAATTCAAGAGCATATTTAAAACTTTCACAATTTGTAAAGGCATACAATTTATCAGGAATCACTGTAAATGGTAGTTTTTTCCCCCGAAAAAACATTTTCTATTTTGCATATTTGCTAAATAGGGATGCACAATCTTTATTTGACTTAATGGACGAAAATTACCCAATAAAAACAATTTTAATACAAGGAGGTAATATCGACTTTCCTATCGAGATACAACGTCTTTTAAAAGACCATCCTGATTCAGTTACTTTTGAACACTACTCAAGACTAGCAAGCTCATTATCCCACAATCATCTCACTATCGATATACCAACTGTCGATAAGCCAGTAAATAGAGTCGATCTACAAATCATTGCCATCAATAAATATTTAGAACGAAAAGAGATTTCAAACAACTATTTTTCTCGTATGCTTTACTACTTGTCTTGTTATTTGGAAAGATCTCAAAAGGTTCAATTGTTGGGTAAATCATTTGATACTACATCGCTATTAACAGAATGTGTTAATTTAAATCCAAATGCTCATTATTTAAAATGCTTGGCCGATAGAATGGAATCAACTCAAAAAGTTACAATCAAAGGAAAAGAATATTCAAGAATCGAAATTATCGAAGATCTTTATTTCACTAATCATATATTCACTACTGTCAAAAACCCAGCAAATATTATTTCAAAAGAGGGTGGTTATTATTCATTATATAGATTTTATCATCTTGATAACATTGAAAAATCAAAGCATTATTTAGAGCTTTATACTAAAGAAAGAGGTATATACATTATAAACAAGCATATATTCATATACATATATATTCTAATATAGGTATTTTTTTTTATTATTTTAGAAATTAAAAAAACAAAAATAATAGCAGTTTTAAATGATTTAAATAATACAGATAGTAACGAAGCTTTATATCTCGAATTATATCATCTTTTGGGAAAAGATGAAAAGGCCTCTATAAAAGGTGAATTATTGGGTAAAAAGGAATGTTTAATGACCTCTATAAAGATCACTATGACCATGCAAAAAACATATATAACAGGTTTATTTCACGAAATGGCCAAATTTGTAGAAGAAGGTGATACTTTAGAATTATTTGATTTACATTTTACCAAATCAGATTTATTACTCAGGGAACATATACTTACCCAACTAAACGAATCTTCATTTGCTCTCTGTATGGAAACTGATAGAGGACTTGAACTAGATAAAACAGTACCTGAAGATCTTCATTCCGATTACGATAGACAATATGCAAGATTCAATATATGTATTAATCAATTTATCTATCAATGTTCAGAATATAGTGAAGTATATTATTCAATTGGTAAATTTTTATCAAATCACTTTTTAAAGACTCCAAGAGAATTATCAAAACTAAGAGATGATTTTGGTAACATTCCCAAACATTACTATCTTACAACAAGAGATTATTTCAGAAAATATTTAGAGTATTCAGAACCAATTTTAATTACATTAGACAATTTTAAAGGCTGGTACTCATTGTCATCTGAAATGGGTTTCGATATCAATGATAAAGAGTTTGGTAGAACTAAAAGTAATATTTTAAATGAATTAATTCAATTAAACCCAAGCTTTTCAGGAATATACCACGAATATTCAAAGTCACTTTCAAAAAACACAGATACCATTCAATTAACAACAAACAATGGTATTGAAACATTAAATAGAATTCAATTATTATTAAAAGGAATAGATTTAGAAAATGGTATCACAATTTTAAAATTCAAAATGATGGTCGACTTACTCCAATGCTTATCAGATACAGATTATAAAGAAGTTAGCTTTTTAAATGGCAGAACCGTCAATAAACACAACTTAATATTAGAAACAATCGAAGACTTTAGCCATCTTTGCTTTTCTGATCAAATTCTATCATTTTTATATAAAGAGTTATATAACACTGTGGATGATGATGAAGAAATTGAAGTTTTGGGTATGGTTTTTACAAAACAAACTTTAAAAAACTATTATTTATCTTATAAATTTTATGATGTAAGATACAAATGTAAAAGTCTTTTTTTCAATTTATTTAAATAAATAAAATAAATTTAATACAATCAATTTTTTCATTTTTTAATTATGAGGATATATTATTATAAATTGATCCAAGTAATATATTATTTAATTTTTTTATTTTTTCTTTAAAAGTAAAGATTTAATTTTTTTTAAGAAGGATCAAGATATTTTTTTTATTTCTATATTTTTTCCATATTATTTCTTTTTCCAAATTATTTTTTTTTTTTAAATTTATCTTAAATTATTTTTTTATAGATTAAAAAAAAAATTATTTTTTTTTTTTTAAAAAAAAACAAATAATAATGATAAGATCGTTTAATAGTATAAAAAAGTATAAAAATTTTATACAACCCAATATTTTTTTAAATAATAATTTTATAAACAATAATATTAATAACAATAAACTTCAAATTTTATCTAAATCTTTTTGTACACAATATCAACAACTCCAACAAAATCAAAATCAAACACATCCACCACAATTTCAAACACATAAACACTTTATAGATATAAATGATTTTAATGATAATAAGAATATACATATTTATGAAAATAATTTAAATAATAATGAAATAAATAATATTTTAAAAATAATTAATAATGACCCAAAAAAAAAAAACAATTTTTATCAACTGTTCAAATTAATGAAGACCAATAATTTAGATCAAGTTTCTTTATTATCTGGTGAAAATGTTTCGTTAGAGCAAGTTTTGGTTAAAGAGCTTAATAATGGCATGGAAAATATAGAGGCTATAGATGAACTATATATTCTTTTAATCAAATCGCTAATGGGTAAAGAAATAACAGAAACCGCTAAATTTCCACATGAATCAAATGGTTTTGTAGATCTCACTCTTTTGGAAATGATCACTCTACTTATTGCCAATAACAATAGAACTGCTGAGGCATTTTTATATCTATCTGAAGTTGTTAGAAAAGAAAATTTAGTTGGAATAAAAATAGAAAACTCTTTCTTCAAAAGAAAGGAAATAGCCTTCATAGCATATAACTATTATAAAAATAATCCACAAACTGTTCTCAATTTAATAGACTCATTTTATCCATCAAAGGAAATGTTAGATAATTCTACACATAAAATCCTTAAATTTCAAGATGTATTGATTGACTTTATTAGTACCAATAAAAATTTGGCTACTTATGAACACTATTCAAAGCTTGCAGGTTTATTAGGGAATAATAGTGCAACAATAGATGTCCCAACAGTTGGTAAAAAAGTAAATAGAATTGATATACAAAAAGTATCCATTGAAATGTATATAAAAGAAAAAGAACCCAAAGCAACTATTTTTTCAAATCTCCTTTTCGTTCTAGCATCATATTTGCAAAAAGATCAAGTGGTTTCCTTATTTAATGGAAAATTTAGTAAAAAGTCATTATTATTCAAATGCATGTCCCTACATCCAATGCTTCGTTATGTTAAAGGTCTTGCTGACTGCATGGCCCCTAAAGAAACATTAAAATATAATGAAAAAGAATTTGGAAGAATCGAAATCATTACAGATATATATATTTACAGAATAAACTAAATACCCCCAATATCGGATATGATGAAACCAAAGAAATAGGATATGGATTACTATGTAAATACTATCAGGAAGAAAACAACTTTGAACAATACAATTACTATTTACAACTTTATAAAAAACAAAAAGGTATGTTTAATTATTAAAAAAAATATTTTAATTATTTAAATATGCTAACTATTTTTATTAATATTTTAGATTTTAAAAAGGATAAAGTAATAAAACTTTTAAATGAAAAGTCTGATGGTTCAATCGATGGGTTATATCATTTGTTATATCAAACATTGGGAATTAATGAAAGGGTTATGATTAAAGGTGACCTAGTAGATAAAAAAGAATGTTTAATTCGTGAAATAGATCGTGGAAACCACGATCCTAACCTATCTTTATTATATAAACTATCATGCTTTGTAGAAAATGGTGAAGCCATACAACTAAAAAATGGACTTCAATATAACAGAATACAACTATTACAGGAAGAAGTTAATAACTCTGGTTCAGTGGATGCGAAATTTTCGTACTACATGGAAACTGATGGAGTTTATGATCTATTTGAATCGAATGATAAACCAAATATGTTAGATGTAGAGTATACAAGGTTAAATCTTTGTGTTACAAATTTTCTACAAGATTATCCAGATATTCCACAAATATACTATTTCATCGGTTCATTTTTATCAAATTTCTTTTTCGAGAATATTAAACAATTACCAGATTTAAAAGATCCATATGGCAAAACCCCAGACTATTTCTACCACACAAAAAGAGATTATTTCAGAAAATATTTAGAGTATTCAGAACCAATTTTAATTACATTAAATAATTTTAAAGGCTGGTACTCATTGTCATCTGTGATGGAGTTCGATAGTAATGATAAAGAGTTTGGTAGAACTAAAAGTAATATTTTAAATGAGTTAATTCAATTAAACCCAAGCTTTTCAGGAATATACCACGAATATTCAAAATCACTTTCAAACAACACAGATACCATTCAATTAACAACAAACAATGGTATTAAAACATTAAATAGAATTCAATTATTATTAAAAGGAATAGATTTAGAAAATGGTATCACAATTTTAAAATTCAAAATGATGGTCGACTTACTCCAATGCTTATCAGATACAGATTATAAAGAAGTTAGCTTTTTAAATGGCAGAACCGTCAATAAACACAACTTAATATTAGAAACAATCGAAGACTTTAGCCATCTTTGCTTTTCTGATCAAGTCCTATCATTTTTATACAAAGAGTTATATAACACTGTGGATGATGATGAAGAAATTGAAATTTTAGGAAAAAACTATACAAAACTAGTATTAAAAAATATATATTCAGCTCATTATTTCCATCATTTAAGATTAAAGGCAAAATTTCACATAAACAATTTTTTCAAATTCAAGTAACTTAAAAACATATATTAAAAAATAAATAATAACAATAATTAACTCCTTTTTTTAATTTTTTAATTTTTTTTTTTTTTTTACCAAATTTGTCGTGATCATTAATATTAAAAAAATATAATAAATATATTAGTGATAATAATGTTAATTGTTTTTTTTTAATTATTATTTTAGGGTATGATTTTTCGTTGTTTAAGAGATACCCCTACAAAAATTGTTTTTAACTCTTAACAGATTTAAAAAAATTCTATCATTATTATAAAAAAATATAATTATTAAAAAATAAAAATATAAAAAGGAAAGAAAATTTTTTTTTCACAAATTAATTTTTTTAGGGGGGGGGTAGTTTAGGGGTTGGCTCAAACAAACAACAATTTTATCATAAAAACAAATTAAACATGGTGGGGTTTTTAAAAAAAAAAATATATATAATATGTTAACAATGGCACACAACTTAATTTTTTTATCATTTGGATCCTAAAAATAAATTTTTTACTATTATATCATATATAACGCCATATATAATATTGAAAATTAATATATTATAATTCAAAAATATAAAAAAATGTTTAAAGTATTTTTTCGAAAATGAAAAATAAAACAAAATAATCACATACAAATTTAAACTATATGAACCATATTGCATTCAACATGTAGATATTGGTATTATCATCCAAACTTTAATATTATTTTAAAACCTTCCAATCTGTTATATTTTCTTTTAATAAAACAAATTTGGAATTCTATTTTTAAATCAAAAGGAATTAAATTTTGAATTAAATTTATTTTTTAAAATTATTTATTTTTATATTTTGTATTTATTTTTTTTGCTTAAATACTGAAAAAAAATTAATTATTTATTCAATAAAAACAAAACCTTTTAAATAAAAAACAATTAAAAAAAAAAAATAAAAAAAAATAAAAAAAAATGATTCAAAATAATATTTTCTATGATCCATTATCATTAGACTATAGATCAGCTGATACAAACTATTCATTTCTCCTATACTTGCTTTACAAAATTGGCAACTTGTTCCATATCTATGTAAATGGAGAAAAGGTCAGGGTAGTATCAGAAGACTACTCCCTATACTCATCAATAAGTAATTATATAATTATTACTTTTGCATATTAAATAAAATATTAATTTTTTTCTTATTCTTTTTTATATTTAGGCGGTACACTTCAATTTATTATTGTTGATCCAACAAAAAAAAGAAAAAGAAAAATATCCAATGGTTTCTGGAAACAAAACGGTGACGAAAATATAGTAGCCGTTAAATTACCCAATAATTTGAAATGCACCAAAAAAAATTTTACTAAAATTGAATATACTAATGAAGATAAAAGCTTCAAGTAAATATAATCATTTAAAAAAAAATTAAATATTTTTATATAAAATCACTAACTCCTTTTTTTTATATATAGATGTTGGGAATATTCAATGTTTGAAGAAAAAGAAGAAAAAGAAGAAAATAAAGAAAATAAAGAAAATAATAAAGAAAATAAAGAAAATGAAAAAAAAAAACAAAAAAAATGTATTTTAAGACATTACTTAAAAGATGTATCTGCCCAAGTTAAATATTTCACCCAAGACATCCATATTACAATTAGATCAAAGAACAGATATTTCTCAACAAATGAATATTTGGTTAGCGTTGATGACCATCAAATGTGAGATCGTTTATGACTATGCTGTACTAGTTAAAGT